GGCTGACTCTAAGGAGGAGGAGCTCCACGTGCCGCCCCAGTAACCTGTATTTCCGCCCCTGGCGACTGTACATGCCTGCAGGGCAGAAACCCTAGGACAGCATCTGCAACACGGAACAAAGCAACAGCTGAATATATGTGTTGGGTCAATGAGTGAATGTATGAATGGATGGATGGGTAGCTTCCTGTTCTCTTGTGTTCTCTACCAGAAGACAGGGCTCTCAGACATCTGTTTCCTTACAGCCCAACGCATTTCTTCTGGGCCATAGAGTATCTGGCTGCATGTGCCTGCCTCACATGTTCTAAATCCCGAGGGACTGAACATACACCAGTGTGATGGGCAGACCACGCGTGAAAAATCCCTGTGGGCCCTGGCCGGTGTGGCTCGGGTGGGTGATCATCATCCTGTCTACTGAAAGGTCAATGGTTTAATTCTGATCGGGACACATGGCTAGGTTGTGGGATTGAGTTTGAAACTGAGTGCTGGTCTTCTTGTGGATGCGTCTACTTGCCCGTGACCCTTACTCTAACTTGTAAATCTATTTGGGTCCTAAGTGAGGTATTTATGGGACCCGTCCTTCTGAGGAGACCCTGAACATCATTTTGTTTTCCCAGAGGAAAAGAGGAGCACAGTGCTGGCTCACCTCAATGTTCTTCTTTGCTTGTCCCCAGGATTTGGGCCTCTCGAGTCCTCACTGCCTCAGTAGCCTCAGACTCCATTTCTGTCTCCAGCCCCACGATGCTGCTGAACTCAGCTCCGACTCCCAACCTCTTAGCCTGTACTTTCTGCTGCTTCCTTAGCCTTCCAGCCCCTCCTACAGAATATCATCTGCCCTTTGCTCTGCGATTCTGGCTGCTCTTTGATGTATTCAAATAGACTGCTTTATATCTCTGTGTTGGGTGTGCATTGTTTCCAGTTGGTCTCAGTATAAAGATTGTTCTGACATGAGATAGTCCATCATGGCTGGAAACCTCCCTTGCTTTGTCTCTACCTAAGTCACCTCCTCAAAGAAGCCCTGATTTCCCAAGCTAAAATAGGTCCCTTCACAGCCTTTCCCCTCGTATTCTTCCATTTCCTTCTTTAAAAAAAAAATCCTCACCTGAGGATATACTTTCCATTTATTTAATTTATTTTTTTAGAGAGAGTGGAGGGAAGGGAAAAAG